AATGTTTAACTTACTGATTTCTGAAGAGAATTCTTCATAACACACAGTGCCAGTTCTGATCTCACTTACACTGCTTTTATAGTGGTGTAACTGCATGTCTTCAATATAGCTGTATGTCTGATTTATAAAGATTAGAATAAAAAGCTTGTCTTATATTTTGAAAATCTCATGACACTTTGGCCAGTGCAAACACCTCTGCAGTAGACTCCAAATGTTTCCTTTGTCATTCCACTTCACCTGTCTCAGTGGTCTCCAACCTTTTTACACACAAGATCACTTGTTGAATTGAAGTGCAACTCAGGATCTTCCCCTCCCCTTCCCCAAGGCCCCGCCCCGCTCACTCCATCCCCCCTCTCTCCATCGCCCGCTCTCCTCCACTCTCACTCACTTTCAACGGGCTGGGGCAGGGGGTTGGGGTTCGGGAGGGGGTGCAGGCTCTGCGCTGGGGCCAAGTTATTTGCAGTGTGGGAGGGGGCTCCAGGCTGAGCCTGGGGCAGAGTGTTGGGGTGCAGGAGGGGATGCAAGCTCTGAGACAGCATTTGGGTGCCGGAGGGGGCTCTGGGTTGTGGCAGAGTGTTGGGGTGCAGGAGGGGGTGTAGGGTACTGGCTCTGGAAGGGGGGTATGGGCTGGGGCAAGGGCTTGGGGTTCAGGAGGAGGTTCAGGGTGTAGGAGGGGGTTTGAGGTGCTGACTCTGGGAGGGGGCTCAGGGCTGGGGTGGCTCCCGATTGGTGGTGCAGCAGGACTAAGGCACGCTCCCTGCCTGCCCCAACCCCATGCCGCTCCCGGAAGGTGCCAACGCGCCCCTCTGCAGGCACCGCCCCTGCGGCTTCCATTGGCCACAGTTCTCCGTTCCTAGCCAATGGGAGCTGAGGGGGGCGGTGAGTGCAGGCAGGAGAAGTGTGCAGAGACCCCTGCCCCTCCCCTCCCCAAAGGGCTGTGGGGGTATGCTAGGCGCTTCCAGGAGCGGCATAGGGCCAGGGGAGGCAGGGAGCCTGCCTTGGCGGCAGCCCTGCCACAGCTGGAAATCATGAGTCTCCAGGATCGAACAGTTGACTGTGATCAACCAATTGATAACCACTGACCTATCAGTTTCTCATTCTCTTGACCAGAATATGTATAGATACTGTCAGAGGAACCACTTAATCCCATAACACTTATAAACTTGGGAGTTCTTTTACTTTAACATATGCATATGTTAGATATTGTTCAATAACAATCTAAGTGAAACATGAAAAGCCAGATGGATGCACACCCATCATGTCGACAGTTTGGAAGAGAACAGACAAGCATTTTATTTAGTATTACTGCTAATTTTCCTGTACCTCTTCTTTCACTCTTTCTATGTTGTCCTAATAAACTGTGGGAGTTGAAACTGTTGGAGATTAGATAACTGGAAAGCTACCTGCAGTATGTTCTTAAATACAAGTGATGAAATTTGGGCCTCACTGAAGTTATGGGAGTTTTGCCATTGACTTCAATGGGGCCACAATTTCACTCAGAGTTTAGGAAGATACACAGAGTGCTATCAATGAGGTTAAAAGAAGTTACTTATCCTAAACCATAGTACTGCTGTCTGAACTTTTTTGGATAATGCACAGTCTGATTAATCCAGACTGCATCACACTGGTGATAGCTCCTTCAGCTAGTTATTGAAGCATTTGCCACATTCATCACAAATAAGGTGCACTGGCATGGCGTGGTGATTTCTCTGGACCTTTTTACTGAGACTCACTGGTTCCCAGAATGTTCCTGGTCAGTTTTGAGGAGGATATTCATGATCTTCTGTGATCCTTCATATTCATAATTATGAGTCTAACCTTCTTTGTTGTTTAAAGCAAGTAGTGTGGCTGCCATACATTATTCAAGGCTTTAATCAACCCCTTAGCAAATGGAGGCTACCAATCACTTGTAAACACATTGAGGTCCACCCTTATTTTCAGGAATCTTTTGATACTAGCATGCTGACTGATTACCAGTGTTTCAAATATCCCATTCTGGAGATCAAGACAATGGCTATAAAAAGACGAAACTTCGCAAGTGTGTGTGCACTCTGACAATGCCCAAACTAGGCATCCAAAGACTCCCATGTGCACTTACCAGTGAAAGTTTGTACATGAAGTCTTTGCATGCAGAAATGTGCGCCCACTTTTGAAGATTTTTACCCTCAATTCTATGTGTACTTGACACCAATGGCATCCTGCAGAGATTCCAGTATGAGATTTGCACATTTGGACTTGAGCCTGTGCTTGGCCATGTGATGAATGACCTTCCCTGAGGGTTTTATATCAAGATCAATTGGTAATTTAGGTCCTGCTGGTTCTCACAGCAGCTTTTCATACAACTGACCAGAGATTGCTGATGTGTCTGGAATTGCCATTCAGTATGGTTCACATTAAACCTTAGATACCAGTCAGTTGGTGTTAATGAACAATTGTCATCACTGTGAAGTGACCAAACTGCAGCATTTCTCAGAGATTTCTCTCTCCCTCTCTCACTTTGTTAATTCAATGTATATATGAAAGGATGAGACTTGAAGGGAAAAAGTAGTCTCCCAAATAACATCCACTTGAGATGCAAAAACAAAATTGTGCAGTTCTGTATTATATGAGCATGTTTCTTGAGCACTTTGATTAGCAGTGAAATAGCTCATGTTGACATTTAAAATGTCATCACCAAGGTTCATAATTAACTCCTTTGAAATTATAGGTCTGCTACTTGGTAGGACAGTTCACACCTCTCTTGCAATTAATGTTTTGGCCTGTCTGTACACTCAGATATTACTATCTTGGTTTAAATTTGGGGAGTTTTCTCTGCTATCACAAGGCCCAGAGACTTATTTTTGCTAAACAAAAGTTTAAAGTCTGATGCACAATATGCAGTCCCCATGAAAAGTACCAGCTTGCTGAGTCACTGTGAACCTTATAGAACTCAGAAATCTTGTTGCTGTGTAGAAACTTGTTATGAAGAGGCTCTCTTTTGCATCATGTTGCTTATTACTGCAGGGATTTGTTTGGAGGTAATGAGTCAGGTTACAAATGTTGGTATTGCTTCTGACCACGCCTTTTCAATGGCACAAAAAGATCAGGTTGAATGTGGTTCAAAAAAAATTTTTTTTTCTTGTTATGCAACCTGTGTAGGTTCAGCCCTTGTTTAGCCTCTGACAACCTTACCATAGCAACACTTGCCCTCCTGATGATGAGTTTAGCTTATTCCCCTTGGAGTATAGCTGTCAACAGAGCTCCTCGAAAATTTGCAGCTTATTTGGAATGCAGCAGCATATTTTTACTCATGGTCTTGAGCTAATGGAATCATATCACTCCAATACTTCATTATTTATATTGACTGTCTAGAAAGTGCCACAGATAGGACTGTTGATATTTAAAAACTGTGAATAGTGTCAACCCTGACTTATATACAAAATTTCTTCTTTGAGCCAAGGGCTGATAGGTGTCTATATACACATATCACCCATTATTTGAGGGACCTGTACTGCTGCAGCTGTAAGGTCTCCTGTGTAGCTGCTCTATGTTGGTGAGAGATGCTCTCTGACGACACAGTGCTGTTTACACCAGCACTTTTTGTCGATTAAACTTTTGTCAGGAGGGAGGGGTTCGAGTCACACTCCTGACCGACAAAAGTGCTAGTGTAGACATAGCCTTAAACAGTTTATTTCTTTCCTTTTCCTTTTTACTGGGTATCAGCAGTTTGTGTAGTAATTTGACATCATGATGGCACCGGAGTACCTTCAATAATGGTCTTTCGGTAGGTTAGTTCTGCAGTTTATTTGGGGAATGAAGCTTGTTTCACCCACTGAACCAACTAGTCTCTTAATCTGGCTGCAAGTATTATTCTCTGAGCAACATCTATAAGAGTTGCAGATGCAGCTCTAGTGCATGTGGTGGTTCTGTTAAGTTATACTGTCAGCAAGGCAGGATTTTTAAGACCCCCTTTTCAGAACTATGGCCAGTTCATTAAGCATTCACCAGATCAACTTATTCTGGCTATGATCAAGAACCATATTTAGCAATCAAATATCAGGCCTTGCAGCTCAAAAAAAACCCGGTATTAAAAGTAAGTTAGACAGGTAGCCAACTAAGACATTACATTTCATGGGGGTCTGCGACTCTGAAAGGAGTTATACTGCTCAAAGAAGCCATTTGGCATGAAAAACCCATTCTCTAGGTCCCATCCCCAAAGCACAGGTTCCAGGGAAGGGTGGCTGGCCAGAAGACAGATTTCACTCCATTCAGGGGGAGAGGAAGGAAGCTAGGACAAAGGAAAGAGGAACGGAAAGAGAGTTCCAGGCCAACAAACATATGGGAGATCTGCTTCGCTGTTTCCAAAGAGGTAAATCAAAAAATCATTCACTGAACTATACTGGCACCCCAAAAGTGGCTGTAACAAGCCTCTTTCTTCACTCTCATGATTTTTGTCACACATTCTTCCTGTCTCTTCCACTCCCCATCTATTCTTCATATTCTTTATGGTTTCATTTCCATACAGCTGTCTTTACTCAGCTCTACAATTGTTGAGGCTTTTAGTGCTCAAGCTATATTGAAATCATTTCAGATAGCCCTTAAGCATGAAAGCTCAAGGCGTCCTTGGAATGGAGCAATGGAGATAAAAGTAACTGAGTGAACCAGATGTCCTGCTGATGCCAAAGGTTGATCTCTCAGAAAATGTTGCTAGCCCAAAATGTTAGTGACCTGGATGGTTGCCCAGCTTGCCTTAAAGACTAGCCAGGAGGAAAAACCAGCATGTTTTCTGTTCAGGTCAAAGTAGTTCATCTTAGATGCCATCTATATACGAAAGGAAGCCAAACCTGACACCTGTCTAATCAGTCTTTGCTCCCCCACTTATTCCCTTTCATTGCTTCCACTGCCATTAGGAAAAAAACACCATAAACCCAACCCATCAGTCAATATCATTCCTTTTTTCCATTCTGTATAATTCTGAAGTTCCCTTAATTTTAATAAAGGCAAGGTAGAGGAGGTAATACCTTTTACTGAACCAACTTCTACTGGTGCAAGGTACAAGCTTTCGAGCTTTCACTCTTGTTCAGGTCTAGGGAAAGAAATCAGCATGTTTCAGCTAAATTGTATTTAATGTAGTATATTTTTCTAGTGAAGTAAGAGAGGCAACATTTGTTTTCTTTTTAGATTGCACAATTTACAGTTTGGGGCTAAAAACTGCCAAGATCCAGCAGGATCCATATGCTAGATTTAGGATTTTGCAGCAGTCATGTGCTGTATCTAGATTTTTTTTGGTGCAGTAGAAGTATCTCCACTTGTTCTCTATGAATGCCATTAAAGTTAAAGGTGGTTTTCTGTAGGGGAAGATGACGCAACAACCTATCACATACCCCTAGGGTGACCAGATGTCCCGATTTTATAGGGACAGTCCCGATTTTGGGGGCTTTTTCTTATATAGGCACCTATTACCTCTGACTCCCTATCCTGATTTTTTACACTTGCTATCTGGTCACCCTACATACCCCCCACCCCAAAAGTGCTTCAATTTGAATATACTAACCAACTGCTTTCCCACATATCCACCCATGCATGTGTCTGTGTGCTGGGGAAGGTGAGTGGGGATAAGTTTATCTCCAATATTTAACCCATCCTCTCTAGGGGCTCCTGGGCCCTGAGCAGCGATTCAGCGCAATGAGGAGAGCAAAGCAAAGCCCCAGGGACAGGAGGGAGGCTGAGATGTTGCGGGGGGGAGTGGATGAGGCGGGAAGGGGAAAGGGCCCAGCTCCCGGAGGAGATGAGTGGGGGGCTGGAGCACGTGTGGGGGCTAAAGCGGGAAGAAGGGAAGGCGAGATGGGCTGGGTGGGGGCCGGGCCGGGAGAAGGGAGGGATGTGGGGAAGAGGTTGCCGGGGAAGCAGCCGGGGTTTGGGGGCGGGCGGAGGTGGGTCCCGCGGGCGGGGCTAAGAGGTAAAAGGGGACAAGGCTGAGGGAAGGATGTGGGGAAGAGGTGGTGACAGGGAAGCAGCCCCGGTTTGGGGGCGGATCCCGGGGGCCGGCTGCTCCCAGTCCCGTCTGCCGATAGGCCCGGGCCGGGACACTCCCTCGCTCCGCGGCTGGTGAAGTTCCCGGGCGGCAGCGGAGGGGTGGCGTGTGGGTCTCGCTGCAGCTCCGTGGCAGTCGGTCTCCCCGCCCGGCCCCGCCGCTGCCGCCACCATGACGGACCAGTCCCCGTTCGACACCAACGTCGTCACCCTGACCCGCTTCGTGATGGAGGAGGGGAGGCGGGCCCAGGGCACCGGGGAGCTCACCCAGCTGCTCAACGCGCTCTGCACCGCCATCAAGGCCATCTCCACCGCCGTGCGCAAGGCGGGCATCGCCCACCTGTGAGTCGCCCGCCCCCGCGCCCAGGCCGGGGCTCACCGTGGGGCAGAGCCGCCCTGCCCGGCCCCTCTGCCGGAGGAACGGGATCGGCCACTCGCCACAGCCCAGCCGGGATTGCACCTCCAGGGGCGGGAGTCCGCCACCTCGGCGCGGGAAGGGCTTCCTGGGCCTCTGTGAGCGTAACTTGCTTTCGCCAGGGTAGGCCCCGCCCAAGCAGGAGCGGCGGAAACTCCCTAAAAGTGTGGGGGCGGCTACCGGCGCCGCAACCGAGACCCCGCCCTGGTGCCGCCTCTTCTCTCCTTCCCCCCCCAAAAGAACCCCGCCCCCCCCCGCGCGGTACTCCCCCCCTCTTCCGGCGCGTGAACTGAAGGGGCCCTGGGCCCCCCGGTTCCGGCGCCCTTGCTGCAGAGCTGCGTTCGGTGGGGCTTTGCAGAACTGGGGCCTCGCACTGTAGGGCCCTCAGCGCAGGGATGGCAGTTTAGGGAATTGTAAAGCACCATGCGGCGTTATGGTGGCCTGCAAACATTCATTGCAATCCTAGGCTAAGCGAGGTTATTGGGAATAAGATTTCTACCCAGCTAAAAACCAAGACTGCCGTCCTCTGAAGCATAGCTCAAAGGTGCCCTGGGAGGACCAATTTCATTTTCTGTTTATGAAACTAAAATTGCCTTTAAGGATTGGCAACGTGGAGGAACCTTACGTTGACAGTTAGGATTGACTGTGTAAACAGCATAGGAAGGAAGGTGTGTACTACTTAAATAGCCATCCAGGTATGGCAAACCTAGTGTTGACAGGCTGCATTATCATGGATACATTGTGACACTATTACATATAACGCTTAATCTTAGTTAATCTGTTAATTAGGCAACACTTTGCCTAGCTAAGTATTCTTGCCACCTCTTTCTGAATAATATACACGTAAGCTTATTACCTGACTCTATATGGCTCAGTATTGATATATTTGCAGACAAAACAACTGCACTGCATTAGTACTAGTATCCTGTTCAAAAGAGAATTTTGAGATGTTCAAATTCAGAATTAAGTTTGAACCTTTGTCCTCCTAGCCTACTGTTTTGGCAGGGGGTGGCAGTTGCTTCAAAGGGTTGGTGGTATTTACAGTTCAGGGTAATCTTGCACAAAAGTGCTTGGCTCAATCTCACCTATGAGTTTTCTTGCTCATTTCAGTTTGTACCATAACTTTGAAAGATAGGGAAACGTAAAGAGTCTGTTTGCCCGCTTTCCTTGTCTGCAAAACCTATGTAACCTTTGTAGCTTAATGAACAGAAGCTTCAATTCTGGTTTTTAAATGGATTTAAGCAATGTAATCCAAACTAGTGCACTCAGAAGAAAGAAGATGGGGCATGTTTCAACTTGTAGCTTCCAGAGGGATTGGACAGTGAATGAAAAATAGTCCTATTGCCCTTTAAAGTTATTTAAAATGGCTGAAATACTAGCCAACTACTAATATTGCAATTCTAAACTTTAAGCCATTTTATCAATTGCTCACTTTCAGTAGCCTTTCATTTGTGTCCAAGCAGGTTCTACTTTTTTATTTTTTAATCTGTCAAACATCTTCACCACTGGTTTTTAAATACGTCAGCTAAAAAAAAGTGATGTGATCTTAGAATTCCTGATGCAAGAGACAATCATGTGCATATTGGGGAAAGCAGGCTAATACAAGAGACACTTAACAATTTAATAATTAACCAGGCTTGGAAAGATTCAAGTATTGGTAAACTTTTTGATTTCATTGTATACACAAACCAACAAAACTTCCACTGATGATCAAAATTTACAGATAAACAGCATTTTTTACTTTGCCTAAGAATTTATTAGAGTTTGATTTAAGGATATTTACTTTATATATTTTGACATATGATGTTGACAACTTGTCAATGGTTATAAAGCTGTAACTTTTTGAATCTCCACATCGACTATCAAATAACTGTCTGTCCTCCCCCTAATTTTCTACAGTTGTGAAAATTTAAATCTATAAACATAAAAGCTTAGCACAACTGTGAAAATCTAAATAGATAACAAGCATTTTTAATTTGATCCTAGGCAAATTATATTAAAATCAAATTCTCCCATGCCTGTTCATAACTATAGATATCCTGCCCTTCTTTCTTAAGGTGAAACTCCCATTGGCTGTGGATATTGGAGCATGTAGGAGTTATCTGTTAAACAGTAAGCAACTCTTGTCATTTGCAGAGCTGCACACAGCTCAAGGACAAGAGATGGTCTGCAGTTGTAGTGACTGTTCTTGTTACTACTATCTTTATGGGTTGTGACTAACAGCCAATCAGAAGTTTTATAAATGCAAATTTTGTTTGGATTGTAGTGCATTCTTTCACATGCTAAAGGGATGTTAATTTCTCAGTCTTGGGCTCTCAGTTCAGCTCATGCTTCTGTGGAAATAAAATTGAGTGCATTTTGTCATGTAGCAATAAAAAGCTACCTTAAAGGAGTAGGGAAAAAAATTTGTACTCAATGGTCTGTCAGTATCGCCTGTTATCTTACTTTAAAAAAAACCTCAGATTTAGACTCCAGAATATAATGGTAAAAATAAGTAAAATGACCTTTCAAATTTTATATGAGCTTGGCAGGTAAACCAAATGATTGGAAGTTCCAAAACTCCATCTAAAGACATGTCTACATGGGGGTATTAGTGCATCCCAGGTAGGGAGTAAATTCTAATACACACTAGCATGTCTCACACTTGCTGTCTGCGTGGACCCTGCTGGCATGCACTTAAGTTTCTTAATGTTTAAGTCAATATGCACTAAGCCCTGGTCTACACTAGGACTTTAGGTCGAATTTAGCAGCGTTAAATCAATGTAAACCTGCACCCGTCCACACGATGAAGCCCTTTATTTCGACTTAAAGGGCTCTTAAAATCGATTTCCTTACTCCACCCCTGACAAGTGGATTAAATCGGCCTTGCCGGGTCGAATTTGGGGTACTGTGGACACAATTCAACGGTATTGGCCTCCGGGAGCTATCCCAGAGTGCTCCATTGTGACCGCTCTGGACAGCACTCTCAACTCAGATGCACTGGCCAGGTAGACAGGAAAAGAACTGCGAACTTTTGAATCTCCTTTCCTGTTTGGCCAGCGTGGCAAGCTGCAGGTGACCATGCAGAGCTCATCAGCAGAGGTGACCATGATGGAGTCCCAGCATCGCAAAAGAGCTCCAGCATGGACTGAACGGGAGGTATGGGATCTGATCGCTGTATGGGGAGAGGAATCCGTGCTATCAGAACTCCGTTCCAGTTTTCGAAATGCCAAAACCTTTGTCAAAATCTCCCAGGGCATGAAGGACAGAGGCCATAACAGGGATCCGAAGCAGTGCCGCGTGAAACTTAAGAGCTGAGGCAAGTCTACCAGAAAACCAGAGGGGCGAATGACCACTCCGGGTCAGAGCCCCAAACATGCCGCTTCTATGATGAGCTGCATGCCATTTTAGGGGGTTCAGCCACCACTACCCCAGCCATGTTGTTTGACTCCTTCAATGGAGATGGAGGCAACACGGAAGCAGGTTTTGGGGACGAAGAAGATGATGATGAGGTTGTAGATAGCTCACAGCAAGCAAGCGGAGAAACCGGTTTTCCCGACAGCCAGGAACTGTTTCTCACCCTGGACCTGGAGCCAGTACCCCCCGAACCCACCCAAGGCTGCCTCCTGGACCCGGCAGGCGGAGAAGGGACCTCCGGTGAGTGTACCTTTTAAAATACTATACATGGTTTAAAAGCAAGCATGTGAAAGGATTACTTTGCCCTGGCATTCGTGGCTCTCCTGGATGTACTCCCAAAGCCTTTGCAAGAGGTTTCTGGGGAGGGCAGCCTTATTGCGTCCTTCATGGTAGGACACTTTACCACTCCAGGCCAGTAACACATACTCGGGAATCACTGTACAACAAAGCATTGCAGTGTATGTTTGCTGGCGTTCAAACAACATCCGTTCTTCATCTCTCTCTGTTATCCTCAGGAGAGTGAGATATCATTCATGGTCTCCTGGTTGAAATAGGGTGCTTTTCTTCAGAGGAGCCCGTTCCTGCTGAGCTGTTTGCCTGCGGCTGAACAGAAATGTTCCCCACTGTTAGCCACGGGGAGGGTTGAGGGGGTAGCCACGCGGTGGGGGGAGGCAAAATGCGACCTTGTAACGAAAGCACATGTGCTATGTATGTAACGTTAACAGCAAGAATAACTCTGAAAGAGTGTAACCACTGTTTTATAAAATGTCTTTTTAAATACCGCTGTCCCTTTTTTTTTTTTTTTTTTTCTCCACCAGCTGCATGTGTTTCAATGATCACAGGATCTTCTCCTTCCCAGAGGCTAGTGAAGATTAGAAATAAAAAAAAACACACTCGAGATGAAATGTTCTCTGAGCTCATGCTGTCCTCCCACACTGACAGAGCACAGACGAATGCGTGGAGGCAAATAATATCAGAGTGCAGGAAAGCACAAAATGACCGGGAGGAGAGGTGGCGTGCTGAAGAGAGTAAGTGGCAGGCTGAAGATAGGGCTGAAGCTCAAATGTGGCGGCAGCGTGATGAGAGGAGGCAGGATTCAATGCTGAGGCTGCTGGAGGTCCAAACCAGTATGCTCCAGTGTATGGTTGAGCTGCAGCGAAGGCAGCTGGAGCACAGACTGCCACTACAGCCCCTGTGTAACCAACCGCCCGCCTCCACACCCAGACGCCCAAGAACATGGTGCGGGGGCCACCGGCCAACCAGCCACTCCGCCACAGAGGATTGCCCAAAAAAAGAAGGCTGGCATTCAATAAATTTTAAAGTTGTAAACTTTTAAAGTGCTGTGTGGCATTTTCCTTCCCTCCTCCACCACCCCTCCTGGACTACCTTGGTAGTCATCCCCCTATTTGTGTGATGAATGAATAAAGAATGCATGAATGTGAAGCAACAATGACTTTATTGCCTCTGCAAACGGTGATCGAAGGGAGGAGGGGAGAGTGGTTAGCTTACAGGGAAGTAGAGTGAACCAAGGGGCTGGGGGTTTCGTCAAGGAGAAACAAACAGAACTTTCACACCGTAGCCTGGCCAGTCATGAAACTGGTTTTCAATGCTTCTCTGATGCGTACCGTGCCCTCCTGTGCTCTTCTAACCGCCCTGGTGTCTGGCTGCGCGTAACCAGCAGCCAGGCGATTTGCCTCAACCTCCCACCCCACCATAAACGTCTCCCCCTTACTCTCACAGGTATTGTGGAGCACACAGCAAGCAGTAATAACAGTGGGAATATTGGTTTCGCTGAGGTCTAAGCGAGTCAGTAAACTGCGCCAGTGCACCTTTAAATGTCCAAATGCACATTCTACCACTATTCTGCACTTGCTCAGCCTGTAGTTGAAGAGCTCCTGACTACTGTCCAGGCTGCCTGTGTACGGCTTCATGAGCCATGGCATTAAGGGGTAGGCTGGGTCCCCAAGGATACATATAGGCATTTCAACGTCCCCAACAATTATTTTCTGGTCTGGGAATAAAGTCCCTTCCTGCAGCTTTTGAAACAGACCAGAGTTCCTGAAGATGCGAGCGTCATGTACCTTTCCCGGCCATCCCACGTTGATGTTGGTGAAACGTCCCTTGTGATCCACCAGAGCTTGCAGAACTATCGAAAAGTACCCCTTGCGGTTTATGTACTCGGCGGCTTGGTGCTCCGGTGCCAAGATAGGGATATGGGTTCCGTCTATGGCCCCCACCACTGTTAGGGAATCCCATTGCAGCAAAGCCATCCACTATGACCTGCACATTTCCCAGGGTCACTACCCTTGATATCAGCAGATCTTTGATTGCCTAGGCTACTTGCATCACAGCAGCCCCAACAGTAGATTTGCCCACTCCAAATTGATTCCCAATTGACCGGTAGCTGTCTGGCGTTGCAAGATTCCACAGGGCTATCGCCACTCGCTTCTCAACTGTGAGGGCTGCTCTCATCTTGGTATTCATGCGCTTCGGGGCAGGGGAAAGCAAGTCACAAAGTTCCATGAAAGTGCCCTTACACATGCGAAAGTTTCGTAGCCACTGGGAATCGTCCCAGACCTGCAACACTATGCGGTCCCACCAGTCTGTGCTTGTTTCCTGAGCCCAGAATCAGCGTTCCATAGCATGAACCTACCCCATTAGCACCATGATGCATGCATTGGCAGGGCCCATGCTTTCAGAGAAATCTGTGTCCATGTCCTGATCACTCACGTGACCACGCTGACGTCGCCTCCTCGCCCGGTATCGCTCTGCCAGGTTCTGGTGCTGCATATACTGCTGGATAATGCGTGCGGTGTTTAATGTGCTCCTAATTGCCAAAGTGAGCTGAGCGGCCTCCATGCTTGCCTTGGTATGGCATCCGCACAGAAATAAGGCGCGGAACGATTGTCTGCCGTTGCTCTGACGGAGGGAGGAGTGACTGACGACATGGCTTACAGGGTTGGCTTCAGGGAGCTAAAATCAACAAAGGGGGTGTCTTTACATCAAGGAGTATTTCAGGCAGGACTTCACGGAGGGTTCCAATAAGAAATGGTGCACCTAAGTTATAGTTCTTATTGGAACAAGGAAGTTAGTCTGGCCTCTGATTGATACATGGCTAGATTTACCTCGCTGCACCTTCTCTGTGAGTGACTGCAGTGTGACCTAGAGGAATGAGTCCCCTAGACGGGGGAGGGAGGGAAGCAAATGAGTACAAAACAAATCTGGTCTATTGCTTGTTTTGATCCACTCCATCTATCTTTTACATCTTTGGCTGGCAGCAGACGGTGCAGAAGGACTGCATGCCATCCACATCTCATGGCTGCTCGGCAGAAGATGGTGCAATACGACTACTAGCCATCCTCATCTCTTGCCTGCCCGGCAGAAGATGATGCAATATGACTGCTATCCATCCTCATCTCTTGCCTGTCCGGCAGAAGATGGTACAGTACGACTGCTAGCAATCTGTATCGTCTGCCTGCTCACCATAAGATGGTTCAATAGGACTGACTGCAGGACTAAAGAGAATGACCTGGTCAAGTCACTCCAAATTTAGTCCCTGTGCCCATGTCTGCCCAGGCGCTCCTGGCCGACGTGGTCAGGAGCACCTCGGACATGACAATGACAGCTACCAGTCATGTTGCACCATCTGCTGCCAGAAGGCAATGGGTTGCTGCTACTGTGTAGCAATGCAATACCGCATCTGTCAGCACCCAGGAGACATACAGTGACGGTTACCTGAGCGGGCTCCATGCTTGCCGTGGTATGGCGTCTGCAGAGGTAGCTCAGGAAAAAAGGTGCGAAACGATTGTCTGCCCTTGCTTTCACAGAGGGAGGGAGGGAACGGGGGCCTGACGATATGTACCCAGAACCACCCATGACAATGTTTTAGCCCCATCAGGCATTGGGATCTCAACCCAGAATTCCAATGGGCAGCGGAGACTGCGGGAACTGTGGGATAGCTACCCACAGTGCAACGCTCCGGAAATCGACGCTTGCCTCGGTACTGTGGAAGCGCTCCGCCGAGTTAATTCACTTAATGCACTTAGAGCATTTTCTGTGGGGACACACACACTGGAATATATAAAAACGATTTCTAAAAAACCGACTTCTATAAATTCAACCTAATTCCGTAGTGTAGACATACCCTTAGGAACTTTTAGTGCACGCCAGCAGGGTCCGCACATACAGCAAGTATCTGCATGCTGGTGTGCACTAGAATTTACACTCCAGCTGGGGCGAACTAACACACCATGTAGACAAGCTCTCAGCATTTATCTAATTTTGTAAAACTCTCTATTGTTCCTCCTCTCTCTAGTGAGTATTTACTGAAGGTAGATGCAATAGTGCTGAGTTTCAAAGAAGAGAACAAGACAATTTCAATGCAGGGAGAGTAACTAGATTTTAGAGCCCTCAGAGTTGGGCTACCTTCACTACAGCACAGCTAGTGTTCTGCTATAACTGATATGGCAGAAGCTAAGATATGAAGTGGCCTTCAGACGAGCCTTCAGTTGATGATAAAATCTTTGTGCAATTAAACTTTTTTCAGCTTCAAATTTTTGAATGTGAAGACACAGCTTGATTAATGGCTGAATTATCAACTGCCGTCTGATTTAATATCTTAGAACCACTTTAATCAGTTTGATTAAAACCTTTTTTTTTATAATGCTGTCAGGAATAAAAGGTGAGTTTTACGTGAAGTTGTGAAAGAATAAGACTGAGTCAGTCCTTGTGGGGAGCTGCGATTTGTCAAGTATCTAAGCAATCAGAGCTAGTACTACAGTAATGATGAATATAAACTGAAGTTACTGCACTGTAACCTACTTCTAATTATTTTGCATATTGATGACTCGCCGGATACTGTACTTAGCAGCTCTCTAGAAATGCCTACAATAATGACCTGTTTCATTAGTGAGCAATTTTATGGAAACTTTACTAATTTGACAACTTACAGCAAATGATAGAAAACATGTTAACCAAAAGGCCTCCAGCAACACAGAGTAGCCTTTTATAATTAGGAAATGAATTTGTTAGCACTAAAGGAAAATTGACAAAACTTCTTGTGTTGTGAAAAAGTTGCTGTAAAATGGAAGTAAAACCTCTCAGTGGATTTTACAAATGACTTGACTAGCTATCTTGACTTCAAATATAGGGCTGATCAACACTGGACCCTTACGCTCGCACAGCTATGTCTCTCGGATAAATATCCACATCCTGAGAGATGTAGCTCTGCCAGTGTAACACCTGTGTAGAAAGTGCTGGATTGACAGAAGAATTCTTCCCTCAACCTACTTACTGCCTCTCAGGGATCAACTGCAGCACTTTCACGCCAGCTGAAAACGGTGTGTGAGCCAGCATGGAGAATTTCTGTGTATTGAACTTTTCCATGTTCTTGTGTTTTCAAAAAAAAACAAAAAAACTTTATGTACAGATGTGAGAACTGTACCCATTTGAATTATGGATATTTCTTGTCTGACACAGATAGCTTTGTCTGACCATTATAATTTAAAACTGCTACAGAAGTTTCACTTAATACAGTATCTGTGTAATTTGTTTAGAGACTGAGGTGGAAGCACTTTCCTTTTCCCCTTGGCCTTGGTCTGGGCAGGAAATTATCTTCCACTGAGGTGTTTTGTTCAAGTCATGAATAAATGGGTGAGAAATACTATCACATGCCTTTATCTTTTGAAGCAGTGGGGGATGGAAGGAAATTATTGTGAAATGCTCTGTTAACCATGCTTGTTAGAAGGAAATTGCAGAATTGAATATCAAGCCATACTGACTTCAAATAATGTGCAGACTGGACAAAACAATGGTAATTTGCCTTCAAGATTTAAGAAATAGCCAGTACGAGAGTGTTAATTCCCAGCTCTTGCTGATGGGAACAAAACACCTGTCATCCCATTGTAGAAAGTTTGGCATGGAGGAGCATGAGTGCTTGTTTCAGTGGTGCATGGTGCCTACCATATCTGTGTCATTGGGGTCTGTGCAGGCCAGAAGATGGGTGGAGACAGCTGGAGGGGGGGGAAGATAGGCACCTTCAGTGGAAGTTTCCTGCAAGCTTCCACTAGCAGAATTGATGCATCCTAAGGTAAAATAAAGCTGCCCTCCTGTGATGGAGCTGCTGGGAGGCAGCTGTGGAAATTCCCCAGGATGCCATGGTGATGTGGGTGTAATTCAAAAGCCCTGAACACCCATAAGGGTTGACTAACCTCTAATGCTTAGGCTTTCTAATGAGGTCACAAGAGACAAGCCTCATGAATGAGGCTGGCTGAAGCTAAGAGCAAGGATTTACTTAGAGATGTTACAGGAGGAAAGAACAAGCAGTCCCAGATAATCCCAAGTCATAACTATTACCTTGAAGAACCTGGATTCATGGCTACCAATTTTTAGTCCTTTTAAGTAAGTCTTAACCTACTCCAGCAGAGCTTGTCTAATTATAGATAATGTTTAAATGCTATTTTTTGGTATTAAATTGTGAGTGTCGTGTAGACTTGAGACAATAGTGGCTATTAAAGGATCCTTCATTCTGAGATTTCCAATCTTCAGGATAGAGGGAGGAAGAGGAATCGGGCAGTTCACTGGCCAGTAGATCAAAACAATTGAATGGAATTGTAGTCTCATCCAAAAGTTATAGAAGATGGAGGTCAATGATGGCATAAAGTAAACTCTCCAGTGTTGGAGGGGCCAGATGCAGTGCTCCTAATATTACAAAATGCCATACAATAGAACCTCAGAGTTACGAACTGACCAGTCAACCAAACACCTCATTGGATTGGAAGTACACAATCAGACCAAAAAAAGCAAATATAGTACAGTGTTAAACGTAAACTACTAAAAAAATACAGGGAAAGCAGCATTTTTCTTCTGCATAGTAAAGTTGCAAAGCTGTATTAAGTCAATGTTCAGAATTACGAACAACGTCCATTCCCAGGGTGTTCGTAACTGAGGTTATACTGTATTTTTGTTCCTCATGAGAATCTCTTTCCATTGCTTTAGCTATGGAATAGCTGGTTCCACCAATGTGACAGGAGACCAAGTAAAGAAGCTGGATGTCCTTTCCAATGACCTGGTGATTAACATGCTCAAGTCATCGTTCACTACATGTGTTATTGTGTCAGAAGAAAACAAAAATGCTATAATAGTAGATGCTGAAAAAAGGGTTAGTAACTTACAAAACTTGTCAATATTTGGATTCAAGTTAACTTTTACAAATACTTTTCTTCAAATATGTAAAAATTGAACTGGAGTTAAAGATTTCAAAGGCAGTTAGCCAAATACGTGTTTTTCTGGATACTACCAATATTTTCCTGTTTCTGTTCAATGAATATTCAACCCTCTCTATTTGAGTTACATTTTCCATTCACTCCTACCTGGTTTCTTTCCTCCAGTTCTGCTCCCACATTTTTTGAGCCTTTCTTCCCCCTTTGGTCCTAAATTCTGTATTGTTTGTACTTCCTTACCTCTGGAGCAATTTGCATGTGTGCTTTTTTTTTTTTTTTTTTTTTTTCCCCTAGATGGTTCTCAAGCAGGCTCTTCCTATAGCATTTTTAGTAAATCACTGAATTACTATTTTTATGGATCAATCCATAAAGGTCCCTCCTCAGGCAAATTTCTCACTGAAGGCAATAGGAGTATGACTCAGCAAAGTCTGAGTGAGGACTTCAGGACTGACTTAAAGAATTGACAGTGTCATTTAATTGTAGGACAAGTGTGGGGTTTTTTTTTGTTTTTTTGTTTTTTTTTTTTTACTGATTTGTAGTCTTTCCTAGAAATATTAAATTTCCACTAGTGTTCTCCTTCCTCTTCAAAAATAAAATAATCAATAAAAACAAGTTTTTGAATTTACTATGTGGCCTATGCAGTTGCATTATTTATATGCATTTGCAGGAATGTATACACTTGTTAGAGCAGTATTAGTGAATTGCTCCGGACTCCTTTTAATGTGACCATGCCACAATTGTGGTGGTGGTTTTCTGATTTTTTTCCTAAAGAAATTTAGCAAAGTACAATAGAATTTGCTTTGTTGGGACACCTTGGTGCCTTTTGTCCCAGTTAAACAGAACCTCCAGTTGAAAAGGCTACGACGACCCAATGCTGGAGCACCTTAATTTAAAAAAAAAAAAAAAAACCCTTTAGCTGAGACTCCATGTTAAAGCGTTTTGCTGCTGAATCTGAGCTACTGTGCTCTAGCTAAAGCAGAATTACTGCCCCTGTTAAAGAGCCAGCACTGCTGTTAAGGATTGCTGGACTTAAATCCACTACTGGGATCATGATGATTAAAGGGATACAATCCACTTAAACACCTCAATTTCTTTTTACTCTTACAAACTACAAGTAACTTATTACTATAAGTAAAGAATTAGAGAACTTTCCCTTTGTCGGTATCCCTTGTCTGAGTCTTTCGTGCAGCAGCAGCAGGAGGAATTTTTTTATTTTTTTTTAAATTAGGAAAACAGTATGGTAAAGCCACAAATGGGCAGTGTGATGTGTGAGCAGGTGTAACAAATCTCAGCTTGGTGTTTCTTTGAAGTACACTGTGCGTTATTCAGGCGTTGTGTTATTCTTGATCAGGTAGGTGGTGGTTGTTTGTTGTTTTTAAATGGCTCAAATTGAGCCTAAACAAAAACTGATCTCAGTTTCTCATGCTACTGTGTAAATTAAGACAATTTTTTTTATAAAAGATGAAAAGGTAAAAAAAAGCTAGGGTGCTAGGTTTTGCAGGGCCTCCCTAACAGTTGCTGCTTACTGAAAGTGGTGTAATAACAGCTCATCAATGTATGCTTGAAGGATGACCTTTTAGCTTCCGTATTTTTCTTTGTGACTGTAGCAAGACTCTACTGCACTGCATGTGCCACTACAAAGAACAGTGGCATCATCTGTTCTTTCAATTAAACATTTCCCAAATTCTGTTCATACAGATGCTCAAGCAATTAAACAATGCTAAAAACTTAGCCAAAAATAAATCATCAAAATAGTATTCCACTTCTTGAGAATATAGCTACATCACATTACCTTAGACCTTGTCTACACTTATATTTTTATAGGGCGCTCACCCCCCTGAGCGCAGCGAGTTTGAGTGCTTTAAAGCGCTAGTGTGGACAGGCTCAGAGTGCTTGGAGCTATTCTCCTGGTGGAGGTGGATTACCAGGAGTGCTGGGAGAGCTCTCTCCCAGGGCTCGCGCATGACACCACACACACTGCAAAGCACGGCCATGGGAACGCTTCCTCTGCAGCACTTTGAAGTTTCTAGTGTAGACGTAGCTTTAAACTGTTCTTGGCTAGAAATTAACTTGAGTAGATTAGGTGGCAAAACATTTTTATTTGGGGTAGATGGGCAAATAACTAAATCCAGTTCTTCGGTCTTTATTTTCCAGGGTAAATATATAGTCTGCATGGATCCTCTTGATGGCTCTTCTAACATTGACTGCCTTGTTTCCATTGGAACTATCTTTGCCATCTACAGAAAGGTAAAGTGGGATGTTGTCATGCTAAAACAGTCGGGGGGGGAGGGTAGTAGTTCTTCACACTTAACCAGCTCATGATGGAATAAGGTTGGATCCAAAGATTTAATGAAATCCAACTAAATCTACAAATGCTCGGTTACACAATACCTTTGAGTGATACACAGCACTTGGTTAATAGACCTACATACATGCAATCCTGACTGATATTCAGTTAGCCAGTTAGATTCCTCTAACAATGACAAGGATAACAGGAGTTAAGTGCTTCATAATTACTCATACAACTTGAGACCAAACAGAACACTAATCTCATCTACCTGAGTTATGTGCATTCTTCAATGAAACTAGTTCTCCCATCTTGTACAAGTAGTCCTGTCAGCCTGAGGACAGGCTTCCCAGATGAGATTCAGTTTGAAACATTGCTTATAAATGTAACATGCCTAATTCATTCTGAAAGATAGAAGTCTCATTTGCAGGCATATGAAATACAGGATTAACATGTCTCAACCATGGAAACAACTGTGTGAATTCAGACAAGACACACTGTCCATCTTTAACCGCCCTGACCCAGGTTTCGATGCACCAGTAACTTTTTTGGGCTCACTTCACCCAGGAGTAAAAAAAAACAAGTTCTTGGTACTAGTCAATTGTAAACATTATGACTAAAGTTCCACTTTGTTTTTTAAATTCTGCGTCCGATTTCTGCATCAAATTGAAGGCACTCATTATTAAGGCTACGTTTTAGTCACGGTTATTTTTAGTAAAAGTCAGACATTTTATTAAAAATACCAGTGAATAAAACTGTTGGGGGTGGCGGGGGGAAGGGTGTGCAGGTGGTGGCACAAGGCCTGGGACCTCTGCTGGTGTGAGGGCAAGGCGGGTGGCAGGGCTGGCAGGCTATCTACCTGGCTCTGCACCTCACCCCCTCAGCAGCAGACACCACAGTTCCCAGCCAATGGGAGCTGCGAAGCCAGCGCTCTGGGCAGAGGCAGCACACACCTCCACCAACAGCTGAGCGAAGGGGATGTCGCTGCTTCTGGGGAGCCCCCGGAGTAAGCACCACTGAGAGCCCGCCTCACCCTCTCCTATGCCCCTGCCCCCTCCCACACCCAAACACTGCTGGGGTCTGAGACTGCCCCAGGCACACTGTACACTGCAGAAGTCACGAAGGTCACAGAAAGTCAGCCTTACTCATTATCACTTTTCAAGATAGTACATATCTCTACCCCATCTCTTCTACTTCCTGCATTCCACCCTAGCGCTTGACTTCTCTCTTTGGCCCTGATCTAGGAAAGCTCTTATGAATATACTTTAAAGTTAAATCATGTATAGAAGAGCTTTGTCAGATCAGGGCCTTTGTCTCCTTTGCTTTCATCATTAATTATTTGTATAACCATATTGCTAGGAGCCCTAGTCATGGACCAGGACCCCAATATAGTAGGCACTGTGCAAACACAGAACAAAAGTGGTCCCTACCTTAAAGAGCTTAGTATAGTATATGACCAGAGAACAGATAATTTGGAGGGGGAGTGGGGATTAACAAGGAAACAATGAGATCAATGCCTATCATGCTGACGAGTATTGTGTCAACACACTAGCAGTCTAACAGTTGTGAAGTTTTTGTCGTCATTGCAGAACAGCAGAGTTTTAAGGAGAGACTTCTCTACTGATTTTTTTTTCCCTTTAATTGGTGACCATACTCTAGCAATAAGCTTAAACAAATATCTATTACGTTATTGCTGCTCTTCAGCAGTTGAAGGCATGCTGTCTTAGGCCTGGTGTTCCAAAGGCGTGCACTAGTAGCCTGTTATAGCAGCACATGCTGTTGTGGTTCTATTACTGTAAATAAATGAAGCTTATAAAATAGATGAATCCTGGGAATTTTTAGTTTAAAAAGATTCTTGACACTCTTCCTTCCTATTCCAGGCTTCCGCTGAGGAACCTTCTGAGAAAGATGCTTTACAGCCAGGACGTAATCTTGTGGCAGCTGGTTATGCCCTATATGGGAGTGCTACAATGCTGGTGCTAGCCATTGAATCTGGTGTCAACTGTTTTATGCTTGACCCGGTAAGAAAGCCTACATCTGGTATGAATAGCTTGCTCTTGTAGAGATAACAAAATTCCAGAACAAATTTTTCCTAAGTGAATCAATATATAGAACTGCTTCCAAACTAAATCTTAACATCTGAAGATGCAGTACTCTTAAGAGAGCCAATGGGAGTTGATATGCCTATAAAAATAGAATAGATAAACCCCCAAAGGCTTCTGGCATTCTTCCCTTCTGCTGGAGATAGTGGTCATTAATAAGACCACTCAAAATTGATAGTTTAGTCAGAGAATCAAGTAAACATCATGTGCCACCTGATGTGATGAATACTTAAGCATCTTTTGCATTTGCAGAATTTCCCTGAAGACTGTCTCTTGTAATTTAGTACATTCCTTAACTCTAGTACCTTTAATCTTTTAGTGGACTAGAGATGCAGAAATACATTTAATATTCTCTTACGCTTACAGATCACATCCTGATT